CACTTTTTTTTTTTTTTTTTTTTTTTGAGTTGGAGTCTCACTCTATTGCCCAAGCTGGAGTGCAGTGGCATGCTCACGGCCACCACAGCCTTGACCACCATGCCCAACTAATTTTTTTAAATTTAATTTGTTTTTTATTTTGTATTTTCTTTGAGTTGGAGTCTCACTCCTTCACCCAGGCTGGAGTACAGTGGCACGCTCACAGCCACGCCAGCGTCGACCTGCTGGACTCCAGCAATCCTTCCACCTCAGCCTTCTGAGTAGCTGGAACTACAGGCGTACGCTACCACGCCTGGCTATTTTTTGTTTTATTTTATTTATTTTTTATTTTTTATTTTTTTTTTGAGTTGGAGTCTCATTCTATTGCCCAAGCTGGAGTGTAGTGGCATGCTCACGGCCACCACAGCCTTGACCACCATGCCCAACTAATTTTTTTAAAATTTAATGTTTTTTATTTTTTATTTTCTTTGAGTTGGAGTCTCACTCCTTCACCCAGGCTGGAGTGCAGTGGCACGCTCACAGCCACGCCAGCATCGACCTGCTGGACTCCAGCAATCCTTCCACCTCAGCCTTCTGAGTAGCTAGAACTACAGGCGTACGCTACCACGCCTGGCTATTTTTTATTTTATTTTATTTATTTTTTATTTTATTTTATTTTTTTGAGTTGGAGTCTCACTGTCGCCCAGACTGGAGTGCAGTGGCCGCTCCCGGCCACTGCAGCCTCGACCTGCTGGGCTCCGGTGATCCTTCCGCCTCAGCCTTCCAGTAGCTGAAACTACAGGCGTACGCTACCACGCCTGGCTAATTTTTTGATTTATTGTAGAGATGAGGTCTCGCCTGCCCAGGAGTGTCTCAAACCCACGGGCTCAGACAGACCACTCACCTCAGCCTCCCAAAGGCGCGGAATTACAGGCTGAGCCATCGTGCCCGGCTCTATTTTTTATTTTATTGTAGAGATGTGATCTCGCCAAGCTGTCTGGGCTGGTCTTGAACCTGCAGGCTCAGGCACTCCACTCGCCTCGGCCTCCCAAAGTGCTAGGATTACAGGCTGAGCCACCGAGCGTGGCCCTAAAATTTATTTTAGAGATGAGGTCTTGCCAAGTTGCCCAGGCTGGTCTCGAACCCATGGGCTCAGGCAATCCTCTCATCTAGGCCTTCTAAAGTGCTGGGATTATAGATGTGAGCCAACACACCCGGCCCTCACTTTTGCTTTTAAATACACAGATAATATCATGAATTTATTAGTTCTTCCTCTTTTTAAAAAAAGTATGAACAAATCTGATTTATGTGGATTTTGGAAAAGTAGTTAATACATGTACTTAGAGCAAACTTGTAAAGACAAATGATATACAGTGAAAGATAAGTTTTTGGTCCTATATCTCTGTGCTATGCATTACCTTTCTTATAGGCCACAACTATTACCAGTTTCTTGAGTATTATAGAGATATTATGTGAATATCAAAAAAAATTTATTCACACAAATAAATAGCATAACATTATATAATGTTCTGTACTGTGTTTTGTTTTCCAAATTGAGTATCCCTTAACCTGGAATATTTGGGACCAGAAGTGTTTTGAATTATTTTTTAGATTTTGGGATATTTGCATATACATAATGAGATATCTTGGGGATGGAACCCAAGTCTGAAAAATTTATTTATGTTTCATATATCCCTTACCTAAATAGCTTGAAGGTAGGCCGGGCGTGGTGGGTTAGGGTTTGGCTAGCACTTTGGGAGGCTGAGGCGAGTGGATTGCCTGAGCCCGCAGGTTCAGGACCAGCCTGGGCAACTTGATGAGACTCATCTCTACAATAAAATAAAAAATTAGCCGGGCACGGTAGCACATGCCTGTAGTTCCAGCTACTTGGAAGGCTGAGGTGGAAGGATTGCTGGAGCCCAGCAGGTCGACACTGGGGTGGCCATGAGAGTGCCACTATACTCCTGCCTGGGTGAGGGAGCGAGACTCCAACTCAAAAAAAAAAAAAATAGCTTGCAGGTAATTTTGTACAATATTTCAAATGATTTTGTGCATGAAACAAGTTTGTATACAACGAACCTGCAGAAAGCAAAGAAGTTACTATCTCTGCCACCTATGTGGTGTCATGTTGGCACTTAAGAAGTTTTAGATTTTGAAGCATTTTGGATTTTGGATTTTCAGATTAGGGTTTCTCAACCTGTATCTTGGAGATACTGCCAGTATCATTGCTAGAGTTAGTTGCTTATACTCCATTGTGTGGCTGCATCATCATTTAACCAGTCCCATTTTAGGCCATTAGATTTTTTTCCATATTCTTTTACTATTACAGTGGTACAATAAGTACCCTACATATATCCTTGTATATATTCAATCTGAGGGTCATCTTTGTGTTTAATAAGAGTTTATCTCATTGATATATTAATGTGAAAAATGTTTTAGTTTCGTCACATTTATGTTAAACATTTTCCTTCTTTTTCTTTAAAAAATAAAACTTATGTGTTTTCTTTGCTTTTTCCTAGTGTATGTGTTTTCTTTTTCTTTTTCTTTTTTTTTTTTTTTTTGAGTCAGAGTCTCGCTCTGTTGCTCAGGCTGAAGTGCAATGGCATGCTCACGGCTGCTGCAACCTCGACCTGCTAGGCTCAGGCCGTCCTTCTGTCTTGGCCTACCAGGTAGCTAGAACTACAGGCGTATGCTACCATGCCCGGCTAGTTTTTATGTTTTATTTTATGTATATTATGTATATTTTATGTTTATTGTAGAGATGTTGCTCAGGGTGGTCTTGAAAGCCTGAGCTCAGGCAGTTCTCTCACCTCTGCCTCCCAAAGTACTGGGATTACAGGTATGATCCACCACGCCCAGCATTGTGTTTTCTAATAGTTTATGTCTTCTGGCTTTTACTTTTAAAACTACAATTTGATATTATCTACCCTTTTTTTTTTTTTTTTTTTGAGTTGGAGTCTCACTCTGTTGCCCAGACTGGAGTGCAGTGGCCGCTCCCGGCCACCGCAGCCTCGACCTGCTGGGCTCCGGCGATCCTTCCGCCTCAGCCTTCCAAGTAGCTGGAATTACAGGCATGTACTACCACGCCCAGCTGATTTTTTGATTTATTATAGAGATGAGGTCTCACTGCCCAGGCGGGTCTTGAACCTGCGGGCTCAGGCAATCCACTGACCTCAGCCTCCCAGAGGCGCAGGATTACAGGCTGAGCCATCGAGCCCGGCTCCCTTTTTTTTTTTAGTTGGAGTTTCACTCTGTTGTCCAGGCTGGAGTGCAGTGGCACGCTCTTGGCCACTGCAGCCTTGACCTGCTGGGCTTAGGTGATCCTTCCAGCTTAGCCTTTCTTTTTTTTTTTTTTTTTTTTTTTGAGTTGGAGTCTCACTCTGTTGCTCAGACTGGAGTGCAGTGGCCACTCCCGGCCACCGCAGCCTCACCTGCTGGTCTCCTGCGATCCTTCCGCCTCAGCCTTCCAAGTAGCTGGAACTACAGGCGCGCGCTACCACGCCCGGCTAATTTTTTTATTTATTGTAGAGACGAGGTCTTGCCATGTTGCCCAGGCTGGTCTCTAAAACCATGGGCTCAGGCCATCCTCTTATCTCTGCCTCCCGAAGTGCTAGGATTACAGGGGTGAGCCACTGCGCCTGACTTACCTTATCTCCTATCTATTTATACAGTGTTTGTTTTTTGAATCCCTGCTAAGAGCAATGATAAATTGGCATGTTTTTCACTTATTCCTTTATCTTCCAATTTTACTATTTTTCTTAGGGTTGATCATTCTGCCTTTAAATCTACTTCTATTTTATCAGTTTTAACCTCTATCCTTTGACCTGTAGGTATGAGATGAGGATGTCAGCATGGTAAATCACTTGGCATCTTCTCTTACCTTTTCCTTCCCATCTACCTGCCAGTTTAGGTATTGTCTCTATGTTTGTGTTTATCTTAATCCTATAGTTAAATAAATTATACATGTGACTTGTCCTTTTGTTATAGTTTTTCTTTTATCTCTTGAATGACATCAGTTCAGAAATGTTTGTCTTTTGCTTTTTTTTTTTTTGATTTGGGTCTCACTCTGTTGCCCAGACTGGAGTGCAGTGGCCGCTTCCGGCCACCGCAGCCTCGACCTGCTGGGCTCCGGCGATCCTTCCGCCTCAGCCTTCCAAATAGTGGAATTACAGGTACGCGCTACCACGCCCAGCTAATTTTTTGATTTATTGTAGAGATGAGGTCTCGCCAAGTTGCCCAGGTGGGTCTCAAACCCGCGAGCTCAGGCAATCCACTTACCTCAGCCTCCCAAAGCACGGGATTACAGGCTGAGCCACCAAGCCCAGCTGTATTTCACTTTTATATTTGGTTAATAGTCTGGGAATAAACTTTGGAATTAGGCTTTCCTTCCTTAAGAATATTGTAGGCAGCATTCATTCTCTTCTAGCATTAAATGTTGCCATAGAAACTCTGAGACCATCCTGATATTTTTTCCTATATTTATTGCTTTCTTGATAGTTTTGCTTGAAGCCCAGGTGATTTTGGTTTTTATCTTTGAAGTCTAATAAGCTTATTGGAGAGTATGTCTCGTTGATAATTCCTTGTCAGGACATGTCAATCCAAGTATATTTCTGGTAACTTTTCTTTAATGATTTGGAAATAAGTTTTTTTGTTTTGTTATTTTAAATCCCTTCTTTAGGGAAACCAGTAGTACACATATAGGATCTCCTTTTATTGTCCTTCATATTTATCAGTTTCTAATTCTTTTTTACTTTTTGCTTATTTCCATTAGCTTTGCTTTTCTCCACATCTTTTGTTATGTTTTCAGTAATGACTTTTCTGTGTACTGATTTCAATATTGTCTGCAATGAGTTTATTGTTTTAGTCCACTTTTTTTGGGGGGGGGGCTTGGTTCACTTTATTTTTTTTGTATGAAAACCCTATGTTGTTGCCACCACTGGAGCCTCGGTCCTCTGCATGGAGACTCTGGTGTAGGTCTTGACGAGATGGTCGGTGAATTCCTGATAAGGAGACTTGGTGAATTAAATGTTGCCATAGAAACTCTGAGACCATCCTGATATTTTTTCCTATATTTATTGCTTTCTTGATAGTTCAAGAAAACTATCAAGAAAGTAACTATAAGTCTTAGAGATGGCATCAAAAGTGGCCTTGGCAAAGTTACCCAGGGTGGCAGTGCAGCCCCTGGCTGAGGTGTAGCAGTCATCAATGCCAGCCATCATGAGCAGTTTCTTAGGCACAGGGACCAAGACATGCCAGTGCCCCCTGGGAGCAGGGATAAGGTGCACCAGGATAGAGCCACAGTGGCCAGTCACCTTGCAAGGGACAGTGTGGGGCTTGCCAATCTTGTTCCCCCAGTAACCTCTCCGCACAGAGACGATGGACAGTTTGGCCAGGATGATGGCCCCCCTAATGGCAGTGGCTACTTCTTTGGAGCACTTAGCACCTAGACCGACGTGGCCATTGTGGTCCCCAATGGCAACAAATGCCTTGAACCTAGTCCGCTGGCCAGCGTGGGTCTGCTTTTGCACAGGCATGATCTTCAAAACTTCATCTTTCAGAGAGGCGCCAAGGAAAAAGTCGATGATCTCAGACTGCTTGATAGGCAGGGAGAAGAGATAGATCTCCTCCAGTGACTTGATCTTCATGTCCTTGACCAAGGGGCCCAACTTTGTGATGGGCATCCACTCCTTGTCCTCGAACTTGCCTCCGCGAGCTCCGCGGCCTCGCCCCCGACCCCGGCCACGACCCCAGCCTCGGAGGCTGCTGCTGAAACCTCCACGAAAGCCACCACAGCTTCCCGTTCCGGGGCCCCCCGGGCCTCCGGGCCCTCCCACTGCACTGGCATCATCCGCCATTTGGTGTCCTTTTGGAGAAAGAGCCCACTTTTTCTTTGACTCTGCAAGCCCGTGTTCATCTCCTTCTGGTGGCTTACCTCATCTTATCGCATTTTTTATTTCACCGCTTTGATCCTTATTTTAAAAAGGTATTTCCTCATTACATTATTTGATATCATGTTATTGTGTTTGATCATACTTTTTAACTGCTTTGTGGTAGTTTTTCTAGTCACTGCTCTTTGTCAGCTGTTAATTTTTCTATTTGTGTTTCCTCTTTTTTGCTTTTATTAATTTCATAAAAGTCCTGTGCTGATAATGGTTGATAGTTGCTCATCTTTGAATGAGTTCCTCTTGGACCTACTATTTACAAGAGGTACTTGTGGGAGAGGTACTTGTTCCAGGTAGGTAGATCTCCCTGGTCTGACCAAAGGTTGTGGATAAATAAGTTCTTTTTTTTTTTGAGTTGGAGTCTCACTCTGTCACCCAGACTGGAGTGCAGTGGCCGCTCCCGGCCGCTGCAGCCTCGACCTGCTGGACTCCGGCGATCCTTCCGCCTTCCAAGTAGCTGGAACTACAGGCGCGCACTACCATGCCCAGCTAATTTTTTGATTTACTGTAGAGATGAGGTCTCGCCAAGTTGCCCAGGCGAGTCTTGAACCCGCGGGCTCAGGCAATCCATTCACCTCAGCCTCCCAAAGCGCGGGATTACAGGCTGAGCCACAGAGCCCGGCTTAAGTTCTTTTTTTATAGTTTTGAGGCACACTTTCTGTACAATTGAATGAGTAATTTTAGCCTTTATTTCTCCCAAGTTTCGGGATCAGCAGCTTCAGGGTTGTTTACAATGCTTGAATGGCATGAGTTCAGAAATTTTGTCTTTCATCATTACATTTGGTTAATAGTTTGGGTGTAAAATTTGGAATTAGCTTTTCTTCCTTGAGAGTACTATACTGTAAAGAAAATAAAACAGGAAGAGAATGACTTGGGAGGACTGCCTTAAATGCAGGCCTCTCAGAGTATGTACCTTTTTATTTTATTTTATTATTTTATATTTATTTATATATTTATTTATTTTTGAGTCAGAGTCTTACTCTGTCCCCCGGGCTGGAGTGCCATGGCCCATTCACAGCCACTGCAGCCTTGACCTGCTAGGCTCAAGTGATCCTTCTTCCTCAGCCTTCCAAGTATCTGGAACTACAGGCACACACCATTATGCCCAGCTAATTTTTTTTTTTTTTTTTTTTTTT